GTTAAAGTTGCATTTGCTTTTAACTTGAGTTACTAGGCCATATTTCACAGAAACCTCTTTTTAGTCTTTTCCCTTAGTTCAGCCTTGGTGTAACCCAATTAACGTTGATTAATCTGGCTATGGCCTCTGTTGAAAAAAAACATTACTTTCTGAACTCGGCCTAATCGAGCTTTATGTTGTTATATTAATGGGAAAACTATTCACTCTCTCCTTGGATTCTATTGCAAATTACTGAGAAAGGCTCTCTCCACTTCCTCAGTATCACACCGTACTATTCTAAGCAGACTGAAACTCATAACAAAAAGATGGGCAGTTAGAGAAGCCAAACATTAGGTGCAGGGGCATCAGAGGTATTTTACGTTTGGGAGGCACAGGTAGGCAAGAGAACTTAATATCCAGAAACAGGCGGCAACCACTCTATCGAAAATTACCTGAATAGGGGCACTCGGGCAACAAGGAGCATGTTTTCAGGAAGCTGGAGACATTTGCCCCTGTACCCCCAGGCGCGTACGGAATGGATGTTTGAGGCGCATCGAGCTGATAATGAGTAAGACACCCAGCATTTTATCTTCAAGAACTAACTCGGGGGCAACGACCAAAGTAGTGCAAATATCCTAAGGACGATGTATTATAGAAGTGGATCAACCGCAGAATTAACGTACGATCAGCTGGCTTCGCCTGGTAGCTTAATCTGTTTGCAGATTTTTTCAGCACCATGACTCAAATGAATGACAGCAAGTCAGGTTTTAAAATCTTCGGATCTGGTCATCCAAAGGAGATTATTATGGCTCCGCCTTCAACTCGCTAAAATTCAAGCCTAGTTATCAAGGAGTTCAATAGCAAAAGACAATTGAACCGCCACTACTATTATAAGTCAGTCCAATTGGACCACTGCCATCACTTTTTCCTACATCTTGACACTTGGTATAACACACTTATGTTTAACAATTAGCCTTTAACAGAGGACGGTTTGAGCCGATTGCGATCTATCTCTTTTTAGAGCGCCAGAACATTGTCATTATTCAGTTGCATCTCGCTCGCTCATAATGCTACCGTGTGTTTTGAGTATGTTAAGTTTCAGCTTTTAAGGCATTTTCTCCGCCTGGCGTTTACCTTAGTAAAGTTAAAAATGGATTTCAGTTTTATAAACACATGACAAAGTCAGTCATGCCAAGACATACTAACAATTACTATACTTGGTTTGGTTGAAATTAGATATAATCTTAAAACAAATACTAATAGTGATAGGAAGTAAAAATTGGTCTTAAAGAACGTGTCAACCTTCAAAAAAGGTTATTATATGATATTTGTTATTCTCTTTTTGCATAGTTCCCTGTTGAGATTCTGTTTCACAATATATAATCTTTCTTTGTAATTGGCATATGTTCTCGTTTAATAGTAGCAATGCAGACTCAAAATGACTAGAAAACTTGAACTACTTTGACTGGTAATCAGGAAACAAATATCAGTACAACACATTCAAGCAATGATGAAAGTTGCAGCTGCTTAGTACTTAAAAAGCAATCTCTACAATGTATAATGCGAGTGGAGCTTCAATATGGAGGGCCCATCAAAATTGGAATTGATTGAAATGATTTATACCTTCAGATGAAAAAATGACGTTGCTGTCCAAGAGATGAGAAACTGCATGGGTTATTGGAATGTTGAATGGTCTTTCGTGTAATTGCATAGTGCTGGTTGGCAATGAGCCCCACAAAGCTGGTCGACATAGAAGAGCATCGAGCCCGGCAACTCATCGGACATTCCCATAGGTCTGCTTGTTAATGATCAGTTTTCCAGTTCGCCAATGACATCCGCAGCATTAACAGCTAGGTCTAAGTTATATCTGATTATGTGTTGTATAGGGTCTAAGTATATATCTGACTGGGACGCCATTGATTGTAGGGAACATTGCCCTCAATTGGACACTAGCTCTATCGCATTTTGGCTGTAGCGTAGACAGTTTGATTGGTCTCCATGGAATGACCCAAGGTCCTTGGGGGCATGAGAGCCCCACTAAAGGCTTGGATTGGCAATAGGAGCATCGACCCTGGAAGCATCAAGCTATACTAGTCTTAATTGCGGTCGGCGCAAGGGAAAAAAGTCCGCTAGAGACATAAAAGAGCTCTAGTAATAAACTGGGCAGAGGTATGAAAGCATTGAATTCCTTAGTTTTTATTGTTATGACTTTTTAATGAGATGCATGATTGTTTATATCCTGTCATTTTGCCTCACCGTGTGTATTTCCTTTTTCCTTTCTTCCTTTTCGTGGTTTATAGTCCTCTAAGTCATAAGTTCACTAAGGGTCGCTTGTTTCACTTACTATCATGCATCATCTATATCATCATCATCATATTATCATCTCACAAATTCCTAACCCTAAAAAAAAATTCACATAGGAAAATTGTCTTGGAGATTTGACACTAGCTATATGTTTAGAATACATGTTCTCCTTCCACAATTTCATTCAGAACTATTGAGAAAAAAGATGCTCTTCCTCAAATTCTATACCAAATTAATTGCCTGAAGATTTTAGCAATGCATAATTTCAATTCATTCCAATTTTATTGGTATACTAATTTGTATATTAAAACTGGTAAGTATACAACGATAGACGCTATAGTTATATAGAACTTGTAAAGTTTCATTAATTTTACATAGTCTGTATTCATTTTAAGAGTGTAAAAAAACACGGGCAAAAACTTGAAAAAAAAACTTCGGATAATTATCTCCCGTTAGAACAAACCAGCCTATCCAAAGCCATTGCCATTTGAGATTTCAACCACACTAACCAACAGCATAGCCCTGACAAAAGAAATCTTAACTTAGGTCTTCAGCTTAATTGAGTGATGTGTACTCGTCACATGAGATTAGGAAAAAGATGATGCACCTAGATCACAGAGACAACAACAACTGCGTGGCATAATTTTTCATATCATAAAACATTGTAAAATTAGGGGACTTATCAAGTCAGATAAAAAGGGTGGCTTGTGCATTTCAATATCTCTCCAGGTCATAATTTATTTAACACTATCGAAAAAATTACTCTAAGCCAACCATACAACCAAAAACTTTTCCAAACAACTCAACCACATGTTCTGCGACAACCACTTAAAATGATGAAATTATCTGTACCAACTCAAAACTGATCATGGAAGCTATTTGGCATATATCGATAATCGTTACAGGATTGCTGGCATTTTACTTATCATAGTGATGGCAAACTACCATAATTGTTTACCAATTTGTGTAGAACCCCCCCCCCCCCACCCATTCCAAAATTTGCTTTGGCATCCCTGAAAGAAAGAAATTAGAATTACAATGCATACTTCAGTTGATATGTCTTCTAGGCCTTCATCGTCTTCATTCAGTAGATCTGTGAATCTTGCTGGCCTGCTTTGCATCTCTCTTTCACCCTGTTCATGAAAACCATTCTGTTGTGGCTTTATTTCAAAAGTACCTGAAAAGTTTGAAAGTGTCTCATAAATACGTTTACTAATAGTTAAAAAATTTTGTACTTTAAAAATAATAGACAAAATTGTACTTTCACTTAGATGTATCTTTATTAATCAACTATGTATTTTGAGGCATGCGTTGTTTTAAGCAAAAGGGAAAATTTTTGGAATGGGGAATGGCAGGAATGGGGAACCACTAACCAGCCATTTCCAAATTGATCAACGAACAATAACAACAGAGAAATTCGTCGTTCTTACCATTAGAGACATTCGTTTCCCTCGGGGACAGCACGGATAAATTCTGACATAGTTCCTCGAAACTTTCCTCATCGTGCTCAAGAAAACTATTCAATGCGGCCTCAATTGTATCGTCCATTTTTGTCCGAGACCAAGTAAGCAAGTGGTAGTGGAGGACTGGTTGTGTTGATCAGTGTGGCCTAAACCTTCCTTTGTTGTCCTTTGGCCTGCAGACTCCTAAGCAGCTTTAAAATATTGCAAGAGCATCTTCACGTGCTTGAATGACATTCTTTGCACTCTATTTGATTCGTTGACATATCTGCATATGAATTCTGAGGCGTTTTGCAGGTGGGTATCTTTGTGGCGGAGATGTACAGGAATCTCCACGGGAACCGAACCCGTTTCAATACGAGGAAGTGACTCGATAAGGAGGCTCGTAACTTTTCCTCGAATCGGCAAAAGTTCCTGTAAAATTTAGACTCTTTCTGCACATTTTCCTAATCATCAGTTGCAATATGGCTCTTGTCTAGAAAATGTCTAGAAAATTGACTTATACAGCACATTTTATACGACAAGAAACCAACAGGAAATTTTCCTTCAACAATATTCTTTTTCTAGAGCCGTCGTGTCACTGAAGCATACCATGTTTCAATGTTTATTAGCAAAATTCATTTTGATCCTAAAACATTTATTTTTCCAAATCATGTTACTGTTTCTTTTTAGTTAAAAATATAAATAATTCTTTTAGAAATCAAGTGCTGCTTTTCAGTATTCAGTACAGCAACTAACAAACACTGGAAAAGCTGATATAATATATAATCTAAAACAACCCTAGAAGGCTAATTGGAAAGGAATTTGTTTTCGTTAGTTCGCATACAAGTCTTGCAGTACGTTTGTAAAAACTTTTAGAGGACTTTTAAGAAATTATAAGAATCAGAAGCTTGATTTAAACGCATATTGAAAAGAAACGTAAAAATCTTTGTAAAGTTTGCCCAATCGACTAGCCATTAGCCATTGGTTGTCCGAAACACAATACTGAGTCATTCATTTCATTGACCTTCGGCCTAGAGAAGCAATATTTGAATTACGAATAAAATGAGCCAGAATCTTGTGGCAATGAATTAAACGCCGAGATTTCAAATGGAAGGGGTACAGTTTCAAATACTCCGATTACCACAAGCTCAAATTAAAAAGTA